TACCTATTAAGCATATACACGTATGCTACTAATAGAACAAATATTCTATGTTCAGAATATCAGCGTAAAAAATACTGATACCACTTGTACATGAATAATAGTGGTGTACATATATATATATTTACGTGTACATTTATACAAGACATTAGGGGCCGAGTTCTTGTGATAGTAACACAGCCCAGTCGCAGTCCAAAACATGGAATGCGGTTTCTGCGGCAAACTGCATATTACAGGTTGGCTTACACAATCAGATACTGTATATCTTGCACCCCAAAAAAGGGAGCAGAGGTGACTTAATATGAAATTAATATTGGGATACTCAGATTTTGACAAAAGAATAGCAGAGAGCGATCATACACTTTTGCATCAACATGCAACATTTGAATGATATACAGCAAAATTGATAAGGAAATGAAAACACAAATAAGTTATAAAGACAGACACACAGACCATGGGCAAAACCCAAAACTATAGTCCCCTTATCAGGCAACACTTGAACTAGGGCTAATACAAGTATATTCGCCATGTAAATATAACAATTAGAAATACATACATGCACAGAACCCTAGTACAAATCCTAGTACACCTATCCACAAGGAACTTGAACATTGAATACACTTAAACCATGTAGCAGAGAGATACAGTCAGTAATCGGACTGATTATGGAATTACCTTATTTTGTATTCTGGACACAGCTTTCTGAAACAGTTCAATAACTTTTTAAAAGGTCTACAGGAAACTGCACCTAGTGCTGTATATTGTTTACATTATTACTTGAGAGTACCAGTACTATCGTACTTTTAACTACCTGAACTAAGGAATTCAGAAATCACCTTAGCACAATGTACATACAATATTTTTAAAAGTGTGCTACACTAGACACACAATTATTTGCGGTTACTAGTTATGCTAACTAGCTAATATTGTAATATGAATTTAAAAAAACATCTCACTGTATTAACAGAATTTGTAATTTGTTGAAATGAAATTCGATTTTTATGGGAAAAAAAAAATAAGTGTAAAAACGATGGAAATCAGGGGCTGAAACATTTTAGTTTGTGCCTCATGACAGCTACATGTATACAATTTTATTTATTTATTTATTTATTTATTTATTT